CCAGGGGCTGAGTGCTAAGATGACAGTGACGGTGCTGGTTTTGCTGTTGAACCCACAGTGCCGTGGGCATGGCTGGCACTGACACAGTTGTTGAACTGAATGCTGGCTGGCAGTGTCTCCCGAACACGTAATCCTGAGTATTATAATTACAGAGCAGCTGGCTATTCACTGTGGAGCTCTGAATTTCTCCCCCCGCCGTTCTCCTCTTCTTTTCTCTTAAGATCAACATTTTCAAAAAAAAGGGGAAGAGAAACAAAATGAGCCCTGATGAGCCCTTCACAGAATGCAAGCACTGATCCCTCTGAGCCACAGGGAGTGTCTGTTACTGCTCCATTACGGGGATGAGTGACTTCAGGTTCAGGGGTGAAAGAACGTGCCCAAAGCCCCAGAGCCAGCAGCAGCGGAGCCGACACTCACACGCCTAACGCAGCTTCTGCAGCGTTGGAGATGGGAGTCCCGAGGCAATGCCCGGGCACAGCCAGGCCTGCCTGCTCCCGGCCACTGCCCTGTACTTACGTTCGCCGTCAGCTGGGTGGTCAGAGCCGAAACCTTCTCCTGGGAGGCGTCCAGTTCCCGCCGCAGTTTGCGAATCTGAAGACAAGACACAGCGCTACTGGCTTAGGGAGTCCATTTCCAGGTGGAATTGAGTAAAATGATCGGCAACAGTGAAAGAGGAAACTCACTGGCAATCTGGTCCTTACCTCAGACTGGCATTTTTCTTCTGGCTATAAAGAAAACACAAAAGAAAGCAATTAGCACAGGCGAGGAAGGGAGAGCCCCGGGGCCCAGCCTACGGGCAGCCTGACGCCTGGACGTACATCCCTGTGGACGACTGACTGGCTTCTTCCCTGGTCTATTCCTCTGGATAAACTGGTTCAATTAAGTGGACTCATCAGAAACACCAAACACAAACAGCATATTGTGTTGAGGAGTTAGAATTAGAACACCACTGCAATTATTCTGGTAGGAGTCACCCTGCCCTCACATGGAGCTGGTGACGGGGTGAGTGCTCTGATAAGGTATGTGATGACAAAGGCATGAGCCAGATTTACCAAATAAAAATACAGAACAATCATTTAAATTTTTTTTAAAGTCTAAGTATATCCCACATGATATTGGGGATATACTTATGCTAAAAAATTTGTTTGTTGCTAATGTGCGTTTCAGATTTAATCGGGTGTTCTGTATTTCATCAGCATCCTATGTAGGGAGCAAGGTGGGCTGCTTCATTCTGTCCTTTATTAGTTTTTAAGTCTGCTACAGGGTGCATGCACTTGTGGAAAGAGAAAGAGAGATAGAAGGAGAGATTGGGAAATCACTCCCTGGCGGGGGGATGGCCACACCACAATCCCCTCTCCTCCATTCTCTTCTCAGAACTTTGGACTCACATACACACACATTGGCTGGGTTTTAAGCTACCAAGTCTGAGATTTGAACCACATGTGTAGTCGGTGAGGTTAGGATCCAGCCACCTTACCCTCCATGCCACCTGCTAGCCTAATTTTACCCACTTTTTCCTCCCTCTCATTCAGCAGTTCCCCTGCACTACACTCCAAGTGCGTGCGCATGCACAGCCCAGATCCCCATAGAGTAGAGAAGTAGAGGAGAAGAGATTAGAGTGTGACCACAACCCGTTGCGGGTGCGTTATGCCTCGCCCTCTGGGCAGCACATGCGCCCCCTAGCAGATGTGAACAGAGAGAGGGAATAAAGGAAGGGGGAAAGAAGGCCTGATGCCGACTTGGCCTCTCAGGTTCCTCCTCCTAGGGCTGGCCGTGACTTCTCCATGGCACATAGGTGGCATCCTGTTACCCTTTCTTCCATTATAATTGCAGGCAAAGTGAGCATTTGTGAATATCCATAAATACCAAGGCAAGAACCTTTTGTTCTCGAATAAGAACGCTTACAAAGCCCACTATTAAGCAGGCTCTTTGGTCTGAGTACATGGCAACTTAAAGAGACTTCAAAGATCTCTTTATAGACAGCAAACAAGAACGCGTTTTCCTTAACACTGACAAAGATGCCTGAGCACTGGCTTTGCTCCTCTCAAGACTTCATCACCATCCAGAAGTGAGTAACAGATAAGGGACTGTCATACATCAGTGGAGGTAGCAGGGTCCAGCCAGACTTGGAATCTTCTCGGAATTAGCAGACTACTCTAGCATGAAAATACTGAAAGCTAAGCTATTTTTTTTTAAAGTCTATGAAAGCAACACATCTTCTTCGAGAAGGTACATGTCAGGACAGAAAATGGGAACCTCAGGCTCTGTGACTCATGGACTGACAGAGGCCATGGGAGCTCAGGAGGTCATTTTGCTCAGCCTTTTCATTTTGTAGATGATTTTGCTTCAGAGCACATGCCTCGTTGTGGGGAGAGAGATAGAGACAGAGACAGTGAGAGGAAAAGTGAGAAATCACGCCCTAGGAGGCATGGCCATGCTGCAATCCCTTCTCCATTCTCCTCCTAGGAGCTTGTGCATATGCACCCGTGAGAGTTTCAAGCCACTGGATCTGGGACTCGAACGGCAGTCAGCCATGTGGGAGTCCAATGATATAACTGCTATGCTATCTACTGGTCTCAGTTTTGCTTAGCTTTCTAACACCAAGGGCAAAACTGAAAAACAGCCTGCATGTCACAGTGATTTGTCCAAAGCGACACAGTGAGGAAAAAAATGAGAAAGACTAGGGTCTTCTGCTCACCATATAAACACAGAATTAGAATGAGCATCACAAAGCCTTTAGAAATGTGTTCAATTTATTTCAACTCACAAAGGATAATTTCGAATTTAATGAAAATACCATCGTCAGGCCAGCTGGTGGTGTGGGGATTAAGGAGGCTGGATCTCACGTGGCCGACTGTGCAGACAGAGTGCCCTGAAAAACACACCGGGTACATGTGTGTGTGCCCCAAGTCCTGAGAGGAGAACAGAGGAGAGATCACAGTGTGGCCAGCCCCTCAGGGGTGCTCTCTGTCTCAGGCCATATAACAAATTAAAAAAGGAGAAAATACCGTCATCGCGTCCACACACAGACCAGCAACCGCTAGAAGAAAGGCCTTGCGTGGCAAGAGCTTCCTGTAGGTGGCATGAGGCAGTTCCTCACAGGTGGAGAAGCCCGGGGCCCTCTCCACAGTTGGCAGACTCTCGCTTTTCTCGCTTTCCTAGAAAGGGTGCGTGCCCTCCCCTGTGCTGACAGGAACCCCTGGTGACATTCCTGGGAAACAGGTGGCTAGGGCACAGCACCTGCTGTGGCTATGTCACCCTATCCTGTGACCCTAGGTGTCACCTGGGGCCCCCAGTTTCCTCTGCTGAAATTCCTCTCCTTGGGGCCTAGGCTAGAGCCCAGCACATGCCGAGGGCTTGTTGAAGAAATCAGTTTAGGTTTCTAGAGTACCTTCCTTGGTACCCATACCCCAAATTTCACTCTGACGGAAGAACTTGGATTATCCATTGGCTGCCAACTGGAAGGCCCTCTATGTTTTCTGTTCTTCCTTTCCTTTTAGTTTTGTATAGGGTGCATGCGCTTGCTTGAAAGAGACAGCGAGAGAAGGAAAGTGAGAAATCGCCTTCCCAGGACGAATGGCCATGCTACGGTCCCTTCTCCTTCACTTTTCTCTTGGGACATTGGGAATCCATGCACATGTATCTAGCATGTGTTTCAAGCTGCCGAGTCCAGAACTTGAACCATGTAATTGACCATGTGGGATCCAGCCACCTTAACCACCATGACACCAGCTGGCATCCTCTGTGGTTTCTTAGTAGATAATGGCTTCAAAAACCCCTCCCCAATATTATTATATAGAGAGCATTTAAAAGAAAGCCAGAACTCTGATGAAGTTGCAGACAAGATGACCAAGGAAAGAACGATTCGGGAATTGGAGTGATGAGGAGCAGAGGTGAAAGTCCAGATCACGTGAGCAATCACTGAAGTCTCAGCTCATGATAGGTCTACAAAAGAATAACCAGGCCCTGGTCTTTAATTTGATTAATAAGAGTTGGCCTCTTATTTTCAAGGGGTTATATATGGTTTATCCTGCTATACTGCCCAGAAACCTGGCATTATCAAAACCTGAATTAACAAAACATCTGTTTCCATGGAATGAATTTTCAATCAACAAAGTAATATTTTTCCTGTAGGGATTCTCGAAGTAATGTTTTTAAGATAAATAGCATACAGCTATAAAAATAAGTACTACTGAGCAAATGGAATAGTCCTAAAAATCCAAATGTATTTATTACATTTGGCTTTAGTTCAACAATGAGAGCTTGCATTTGCATACTTCCTTTGAGCTGTGCAGAGTATATTTGTCATTATGCGTATGTTCTTGCTTCTTTCAAAGCTATTTTTTGAATACCTATTATATATCAGGTACAGTTCTAGGCACTAGGCATATGAACAGAAAAGTCCTTGTCCTCAGGGAGTATGTATTACAGAGAAATGCAGTCTTCATAACGTTTACTCCTCATTACAACTCAAGAAGGTAGAGAGTTTTCTTTTTTCTTTGGCTATAGGGCGCGTGTGCTCACCAGACAGACAGAAAGAGACAGAGAGAGAAAGCAAGAAATCACCCCCCCCCAGAGGGGATGGCCACGCCGCAATCCCTTCTTCTCCATTCTCCTCTCAGGATCTTGGGCACATGGTTTTCAACCTGTCAGGTCTGGACTGTGAACTGTGCAGTCGGCCGTATGGGATCCAGCGCATTAACCTCCAGGCTACTGGCTGGCCCGACAACGGCGCTTTGCAAAGCAGCTATTTCCCGATTTACTGGTTGGCACACTATAATTCATAGCTGTTTGTGGATTTCAAATCTTGGCTCTAGTTAATTGACCCTCCTCTAACAGAATTTCTCTAGAAGCAATGCTTACATTTTATTCTGGGCATCTTTGATAAAGGAACCTCAGCTCCACGAGCCTAGTCACCTAGCAGTGGTTTATACTCACCGTGGAATAAACTGATGACGTACTAGAAACCAAGGACAGGGAGGATCCATGCACTGTTCAAAGAAAAAGAAAAAACACAAGAACATTTTAAAAAGAGAAGCAGGCGTGGGATGGGGGAGGACATCGGCTTTACAGGACACTACCAGGCCTGAAGCCTGCAATGAGTGAAGCTCACCTTAAGCTGCCTTTCCTGGTTTGGCGATAGGGCAGCATAAAATAAGCAATAATTTGCTGAGGAAACCACTTCTCTATTACCACATTCTCCTACAACCCTAGAGTGCTTTTTCTTCACTATCAGAATCATATATGATTACTGAACAAAATATTTCAAGTACAGAGAATGAGAAGAAACACATTTACTGCCATGACCTGCGGTGACTCATAATTCTACTACCCAGAGGCAACCTGTGACTATTCCAGCCTGTTTTTATTCCTCTCTCTGTTTTAAACACATTCCTTTAGGGTTGAGATTGTATTACACATATATTCTATATCTTGCCAGTATCTGTCGTATATATACATACACACACACACGCACGCACACACACACACACACACATACATTTATATTTACAAAACACTAAGCTGATTTAAAAAAAAATTATTTGGGCCAGCAGATGGTGTAATGGCTATGTCACTGGATTCCCATGTAGTTGACCCATTCCCATGAGTTCCGGACCTGGGGTCTTAAACTCACGCCGGGTGCGTGTGCGTGCGTGCCCAAGATCCCGAGAGGAGAATGGAGAAGGGATTGTGGCATGGCCATGCTCCCTGGGGGGGATGATTTACCACTTTCTGTCTGTCTGTCTCTGTCTTTCTGGTGAATGCACACGTCCTATAGCAAAATCTTTCTCAAAAAAGAAAAAAATTACTGTTTAGGTTTTTGCCATAGGGTGTGTGTGCTTGCCAGAGAGAATGAGAGAGAGGGAAAGCGAGAAATCACCTCCCAGGGGGATGGCTATGCTGCAATCCCTTCTCCTCCATTCTCCTTTGGGATTTTGGGCATACGCACACATGTGCCAGCATGATTTTCAGACTGCCTGTGTGTGGGACTTGAATCTTGGTCAACTATGTGGGAGCCCAGTGCCTTAACCACCAGGCCACAGGCTGATCCAAGCTGATTATTTTAAACCTAAGAGGCTGTTGGCCACAGTAAGTTCATTCTAGGTCACCATGTTTCAAACATCTGTTTAGAAACATATCTACTAAAATAGAGATTCTTCCTCTGCTGTCATATCTACTAAGTGACAAGCAAGTGGAGTCCCTTTTGTATTCTGGACTGGTACTTTGACTTCGAACCACACTTGTAACACCCTACTACCCCTTCCTGCAGCGGCACTGCAGACATTTTGCCTGTTCTCATTTCGGAGCGTGGTCTTTTCCATGATTGGGGATTTGGGCGCTCTTCTCTTCTCAGGAACCAGTTCTTTAGTTTCTCAGTAACCCCCCGACAACTTGTTGGAGAGACAGAAATAGTCCTTGTTAAATTGCTCAGGCCTTTTTGCTGGGCATGGCTCTCCTGACCACAGTGGGGAAGCCTCGCTTCCTGCACTACACGGGAACCTGACGTCAGAAAGGAGGAAGCTCAGGAGTGACCTTCCACAAGTGGCACGGCATCCCTGGCATGCCACCTGCCACGTGAGAAGTGCAGTCACTTGGACCAGCAGCGGGTGGAAGCTACCTGCCAACATGGACCTGCTGAGGGGCTCAGTCCAGTACTCAGGCGCCCCTCCACTGCCTTCTTAATAAACCTTCCCTGACCTCCTGTTCTTCCTGGATCCTCCCATCAGGCCATGAGCCCTGCACTCCCAAGCGTGTCCTTTTACATTATCAGGAAAGTGATGATGCATTTTTGCCCAGAGAAACATGGAATACGCCAAGCCTTTCCCAAAGACCTAAGACACAGCACTTTCCCACCTGAGAGCCTTCGCCTCGGCAGTTCTTGTTTAGATGTACCTACATGCTGCCTGTCCGAATCAGGATCAGCTCAAATGATGTCTTTCCTGCCTTCCAACCCCATGCAGCTCTTGGCTGTTGCGTCAGCCCTCTTCTCTCCTAGCAGGTGCCTACTGCTCTGAAGCATCCTCTTAGCGATGCCAGATCTAGATCTTTCCCTCCATTCCCCCCCCACACACTAATCTGACTCCCCCCATGAAATGTCAGACAGAGGTGCCTGGTGGCCAATAGCGGCCTTTGGGGTTAACGCATGGACATGTTCACAGGTTGCCTTTACTGCCCCACACAGTGGCTAACACTCTGAAGGGTAAGTCCTTCAGCCCCATGGCACAGACAGTGTGCAAGAGGCTGCCGGAGGCTAAGTGGGGTGAAGAAAACCTAGTACACACAGCCACCCTTCATCACACCTGCCCCATGGCCCTGCCGGTGGCCGGCTCCAGGGGTTTGCAGGAGCTGCGGGTGGCGCTGGCTGCTGAAATATTACATTTGCCTCGTAATTTTCCCATCTCATACACATAAGCTACTGACAGTTTCAACCACAGCTCTGTGTATGCTGGGGGCCACAGAGGAGAACACAGCTGGCAGGCTCGCCATGGAGGTAATTGCTCTGCTCTGTAATTAACTCCTCTCACTTGGTAAACAGCAACAGCAAGGCAGTGGGCCAAAGAAACAGATTCCTCGATTTCCAGGGTCAACCCCGCACTGAAAGAGCACGGTCTGAACTCTCGCAGCTGGTTCTCCTTCAAGGGAATTGGACCAAGCTGGAGTCTGGGTTCTGCGACGTGGATGCTTGTGAAAAACAAATGCTTCTGAGAGTTACGGAGCCCAAACAGCTAGAGCATGCCATGCCATCTTCCTCCCTATACCTGAACCTCCAAATTTTTACAGTTATAGGAACCACGGACAACAGCCAGACTATCTCTGCCATTGAAGAATCTAAAACAGAGAGGTTAAACAACTAACCTAAGGTCACACAGCAATCCAAGAACAGGATCTATTAACCAAAAGTCAGGAGACTGCTCTGCCCTCCAGTGATCTGGTTTACTGGTTTTCATTTATTTTATTTTACTTATAAGTCTTTTGGTGTCCTCTCTGCAATCTACCCATCAGCAAAAGCTGGGAGCGATATTTGAGAAGGAACGTGCTTTAGGTTGGAGTAAAACCACTAGACAGAATAAAACAAACGGGCATATTCTAGCCAAGAAAGCAATCAAGGCCTCTGCTGTCACATGGGCATTTCATACACAAATACATGCCTGTATGTACATACATATGCATGCATGCATACATACATACATATAATAAAACACTGTGCCAATTAAAACATTTTCTCATTTAACTATTGTTTGGCATGAGCCTTTTCATATAGAAAGTTTGCAGATAATAATACTAGACGAGGTAGGAATTTCTTTTTCTTTCTTTTCTTTTCTCTTTTAAAGTTTCTGCCATAGGGTGCGTGCACTTAGTGGAAATACACAGAGAGACAGTGAGAGGGAGAGGGAGAAATCAGCCCCCGGGGGGGATGGCTATGCTGTAATCCCTTCTCCTTCATTCTCCTCCTGGGACTTTAGGCATGTATGCACATGTACCCGGTTTGATTTTTTAAGCTGCCAGGTCCTGGACTCAAACCATAATCAGCCATCTGGGAGTCCAGTGCCTTAACTATTACACCGCTTGCTGGCCCCTAGGCAGAAATTTCTATTCTTAATTCATCAATAAATACATTAAGGCCCAGGGAGGCTAAGTGAGGGAGGCACTCACACACGGCTAGTCAGGAGCAGAGGGAGAATGAGAATCTGGCCTTCGCAGCCTAGTTCTCGGTCCAGGTGGGCCCTGCAGAAGCCCGGGAGGACGAGGTACAGTTCTGTCGGCACGTGGACCGCCCTGCCTCGCCACAGCAAAGGATGCCTCGAGAAACAGAGAACCACTGACGAGGGATCCAGCCTGCCTCAGACAGCTATGAAACTTAAAGGGGGAAAAACATAGAAAAGCCTGGCTGAACGGAGTGTGGGATGGAGGAGAAGGAAGGCTGGCAATGAAGAAGCTCGTTCTGGCTGCATGAAGTTCAAGTCACTTCTGTCTCCAGTTTGTCATTAAAAAAAAAAAAATAGGGATGGTAACAGCCCTTGGGGACAGGAGTAAAATAGAACACGACAAAATTACGACGATAGCCACCACTGGCTGCAAACGTACACTACGCCCCTTTCACCGCCTTTGCTACATGCTTTCCGGGCTCTATCTCACCTAGTCTTACTCCAGCTCTGAAGCAGGCACAATTCTTTTTTCCATTTTAGTGAACAGTAAACAGGCTGAGCTGGGTCAGGCCCTTCACGTGAAGTCGCACTGCAGCACTGGAAGTGCCGGGACATATATGACTCAGGGGCTTAGGGACACAGATATTCTCCTTCACGAGCTGCTGCTCCTGTGGGTTCCCTATCAGCTGAGAGGGAGAGTGGTCTCGGTTCAGTTGCTCTAGCTTTTACAGATCATCGCTGAATTCACAGGAATGTTTTTTCCTCCAAAGACATGCATTTTAAAACTGTCTCAAGTGTCTCCCTAAAAGTGTGCTATTAAGGTTGACCTTAAGATTGCACATGCATTTGCTGGAAATTCACAGACTGAAATGACTTAGAAAGGCTGCACTGGGCCAGGCCTGTACCTATCGACATTCTGCTCGATTCCCGCTTCCTTCAAAACGGAAAACGTGAATGAAATTGCACAAAACCCTCACACAGACACTTGTGCTAATTCTCCTTAAAGTTCCATCCTGCTTTATCACATATAATACACCTAACTGACCAGTGTAAGGAGATTCTATTGGGTTGTCGGCAAAGTCATGATGCATTTTTGCATAGAAAAACATAGAAAAATACATCATGACTCTCTGGATAACCTATTATTTAGTCCAAACATGAGATGTCGATTTTTCCCTAACTGTCCCTGCGACAGTGGGAGGTTAGCTATTCAAAAGGAAAAAGAAAGTCTCCACTCAAAAGAATTAGAAATACCTCATCGCACAAGCCCGGTTTTGTTTGGGTAATGTGAACAGCCTTGGATAAAATAAAATCAATCTGATGGTCAAATTTCCCCCAGATTAAAAAGTGACATGTCCACAACCTACTGACAGCAGTAGATTTTCATCTCTGTGCCTCTGTTCCACGCCACCATCAATCACGAGGCTGACAAACATCTAGACACTGCTTGTGGGCAAGCACTTTTTATCAATGTCATCCTGACATCCCAGATATTCCCCAGCTGTGCGGCCCGACGGCTTGATTCCAGATGGAATAAATACAAGCGACCTGCTGACGACGCTGGAATGGTGCCGGACCTCCGGGAGGCGAGGCGTGCCTGTATGGACACGTTACGGTTCTGAACGTGGCTCGCTCAGGTGTACACAGAGCGGTGAAGATGAATGCCGCGCAGGACCAACCCCATCTGTGAGTCGTCACCCGGGAGGGTGGGAAACGCTCCACCGTCCCGCTTGGCTAGCACGCCGAGTACAAAAACTTTCAAGACACGCTCCTCCACCGTGGTGCCAATAATCCTCCACTTGCACTGCTCTGCGCAGTGACAGCATTCACTTCTAGCTTGTAAATCAAGCACAACGCCCGCGGAGTCAGGCCCTTCCCTTGCGATTCCTCTGTCCCGGCAGGATTCCATATAAGGGTTTACTCATCTGCTCAGGGAGTGTCACTGGGTGCAAATGATGCATCAATTGGGGCAGCGTGTTAAGATGGGGGGGTGACTGCTCTGTAACTAATTTTTTTTTTTTAAAGAATGATTTTATTTAACTTTATTTATTTACTTAGTTTTTCATCTGACCAGAGAGGGACAGGGAGAGAGGGAGAGCGAGGAAAAGTGGGAAAGCAAGCCGCCAGGTCCAGGACTTGAACTGCGGACGGCCATGTGGGAGCCCAGCGCCTTTAACCACCACACCACCTCCTGGCCTCTGTAACTAAACTCTTTAGAATGTCTGTTAAAAAGAACCCTCGATTGGCGGCAAGCAGGTGGCATGCTGGTTAAGGCACTGGAATTCCCGCATGGCTGACCGCGGTTTGAATCCTAGACCTGGCAGCTTGCTCCCTCATCCTCTCTCTTTCTCTCTGCTTTTCTCTGGCAAAATCTCATGTGAAATAATAATAATGATAAGTAAACAAAAAAAAAATATAGAGATGGTAACAGCCCTTGGGGACAGGAGTAAAATAGAACATGACAATTACAACGATAGCCACCACTGGCTATTCTTAAAAAAAAAAAAAAAAATAGAACCCTAGACAAAAGCAGAAGCCTATATTCTGTATTTCCTTCCTTTTTGCCTAAAATAATCCTAAGTTAGTTGTTCCTTCCCACCAGGAGGACACTGGATCATCCCTACCCCCACAAGGACTGGAAGCAGAGGGAAACACCTATGACAAGCCCCCTATATTCTGTTCTGCCACTGGCAAAAAAAGGTAAAATTAGAAATATCTCCTCAACCTGGCTGGCATTTGCTCTAGAAGTCACCATCCTTCGGCTGGGGTCTTGTGGCTGGGAGAAAGCCCAAGCTGAAGCTGATCTAAGGTTATGACATGTAGTAGCATTACGTCACTATTGTCATTATCTCATTGAATCCCCACATTTGCATGTGCTGAATTATTATTTCCATGCTAGCAGGGGAAAAAGCAGAGGCACAGAGAGGTGAATGACTGTCCCAAAGTCATATACCTATGAAAGGGTGGTACAGGATTCGAACCCTGCTGGTCTGACTCTGTATTCTGAACCACTGGTCAAGCAGTACTGCCCGGCAATGTCCTATCAGCCTACCTGTGGGGAGGGGGATGGTGTCCCTCCACAGCCTTGGCCCTCTCACCTTGGGCCAAGGAACAAAGAGAAGCAGAAATGAAGGGTTACGAAATGGCTGACAGTTGCTGCAGAACTTTTCTTCTACACTGTGGATTAAAATGAACAAACAAATCCAAACCAAAAAAGGAGAAGGGTCTAATTGAATGTTGGAGAAAACCGAGAGAGAACTGTGGCGCAGAGCAGAGAGCCCGGCTGCCAGCCCCCCATGGCGACACGGTGTGTCAGGACAGGGAAATGAACTCCTGGGAGCTGCGCCTGCCAGGAGGGTGAGCCAGGGGCTCAACCTCACGAGGGGATGCCAAGAAGCTGTGGCCCGAGTCCAGGAGAGAAGAGCCGAGAGCGGAACTTGCTCCACAATCAGGCTCAGTAGGGTATTTTTTTTTTTCAGCAGCCTCTTCCCTAAAGTCCTGAAAGGTCAATGAAGGGTCAAGCCGCACTGTTCAGAGTCCCCCATTCCGACCCAAGAGGTGGGAGGGTTGGAAGCCCTTACAGGTAGGCTCTACAGTCAGCAAGGTGCACCCACACAGGGGACCTTTAGCCACGCCGGGCAACCTGGGAGACAGCACGCCTCCTTCCTTACCTTCTTCAAAGCCATCCCGGAATGAGCCTGAGCGGCTCATGGTCCTGCTCTTCTCGTCCAGGGACATGGAGCTGTTCCGGAGGCGGCTGTCGGTGTAGGGGTCGTATTGCCCTTCGGCGTTGGAGAGGCTGTGGGTCCGCAGCATGGTGGGGTTGGACAGGCTCATCTGAGTGACAGTGGTGGGGCTCGCTGGAATGAGAGGAACCAATCAGAAGGTTGGCAAGTCATGTCCCTGTTCAAGTCCTGGCGGGGGCTGCGAACGGGAGACTGCTTGTCGTCAGCCACGTGCGTCCCCACCAGCTTCTCGCCGCCGTCTCTGTTCTGAAAGGTAGTCACATCAGCCTCTGAGCTACACACTTAGGGCTAAAAATCAGGGAGGGAAGGCAGGTCAGTGCCAGAGCTCCGGGCCTCGGCTTTCCAACTTGGCACGTTCAGACAAGCCAGTGTCACCTTCCAGGCATGAGCTAATTACTCCCTGGGCTCATCTGGAGAAATTCTCTCTAAAGCCAAAAGCCCAAAATAGTCCAACCGGGCTTTTGATCAGATGGGAAGCATTTGTGCATGACATGAATCTCTTGCCTCAAAGAGTTATGGCTGGGAAAGAACAACATGAACGTAGGTCTCCTTGCCTCAGACAGGAACATCCCATAATAGTGTGGAAGGATCTTTAGTGCAAAGTGGGCATGCTCACTTTAGCCAAAGCTAGCTTTCGTGCAAACGTGCAGCCTGTTTTAGCGATGTCCGAGATTTTCCGAAGTACCGGTGCAATCAGAAACTGAGCGGTAAATCTCACTTGATGGCGAGCCACGCCTGTCCTTACAGGCTCAACCGATCTCTCCCAGCACTCAGAACAGGCTGTCTCTGAAGATAAGACTGGGGGAGAGCTTCCCCCGCGATTCCCTCTCCAAGGTGCACTCCCACCCTTCTGCCCTCACACAGCTGCTGCCAATGATTCCAGCCAGGATCGACTGCACACAACTCTCGCCATCTGACGACATTCAGTTTTTACACAGAAGTTTTGGATTGTTCTCTGTTGCCCTATCTGACGGGTCTGCATGGGAATGTTTCTCTCTCTGAAAAAGAATCCCTCGACATGTTACAAATTCCATTCCTTGCCCCCGCCGTGCCAGTCAAAGCATGTCAGCAGTGGGCATTTCCAAGAATACTCATTCATTAGAAACTTAACTTTCACTTCCGGCTTACACGAGCAACAGGGATGACCAGGTGTGGGATATACTGGCAAACCTACTTCTCCAGAGATCTTAGAAATAGTATTTGTATTCTTCTTAAGAACGGAATGGTTTCTGCTTGGCTGTAATCCTACTTACCTCAACCACCTAAAGGAAAGATTGGTGAGACTACCAAAAGCTCTGGTATTTGGCTATCAATCTGTCACCAAACTCTACTGCTGAGGATTGATCAGATTCTGACGGGGGTGGGGGGGGAACCACATGTTCATAATCACATGTCTATTTCCAAACCCGATCACCTCAGCCTTGGGGTGCAGGTCAACACCACTAATGACGAGTGGCTACTCACCAAGCTGGGAAAAGTTGAATCTTGTTCCAGAGGGAGAAGTCACGCTAGAGCCAGAGGAGAAGGGAGAATTGGCCATGGTGTCCTGCAGGCCTCCTGCAGAGTGGGAGCGTAACCATTCCTTGGCGTCGTCTTGCGTGCGAAGCTGGGAGGTGGGAGTATACCTGGATGGACAGAAAGCAAGCTGAAATCAACTGTGAACAGCACTTTAGAAAACCAGCTCCGTGAGACACATGATAAATATGAGAGACGGTGACTGGGAGACCTCAGCCTACTGCACAGCACAGCCAGCCCGGACTTACGGAGTTCCTTACACCTTTTTTTGTAACTTGGGTGTGTTTGGGGAAAATGACAATTCCTTTTCGTTTGAAAGGAATACATAAAAGGAGGAAGATTGGTACATGCTTAAAAGAGCCGTCACTGGGCGGATCTGTAACATGTTGATTCATGACAGCACCATGTCAAAGTCCCCACCTTGACAGGACTGAAGCAACAAAATGAGCTGCTCTGAGGAAGTTCTAATTAGGTAACTCATGGCACGTGTGTTCTACGGCACAGAGGAGTGGCCGTGAACCACAGCATCATGTGAAGGAACGTCAAGGACACTGATGGGCCACAGGAAGTGCTCCAGTGCAGCATAAACAAGCACATTAAAGAAATCCCCAACCACTGGGCTTTACATGAGGGTCTTCAGAAGCCTTCCGGTCCACCCCTTCGTTTATTCTGAAATGTATTAGGTGATGGCTTGCCGACCATCTCTAACCCCCTGGTGCCTTTGGGGGCACCGTCTCACTGAACTCTGACCTGCTTGCAAATGCTGTCAATTCAGTTTTACACTCTGGGAGGGTGAGGACCCTGCTCTGAGCCACATAGGTAAGACTGTGCAACCCATGTACTTTTCACAGTGCCCACAGGCAGCACTAGGAATTCCTGAAGTATCTGAGTATCCAGGGCACCCTCGGGCTTAGGATCTATACAATGATGACTGATGATGTAAGTACAAGGAATTCGTTCAGGTTAGGAGAAGGTGGTACTAGAGGGTTTATATTGGAGACGTGTATGTATGGACGGAGCGAACTTACACAGGAAGAGTGTGAAGGACACAGAAATGTGTCCTCTTTCCTGTTTTTCCCATAGCTAAGGGACACACAACTTTCTAGGGTACACTGCATGAGAGGAGTCTGCCACATGTTCCTATTCTGAATTTTTGAAAAACCAATTTTACAAAACTAGAGCTACATAGTTTTGGTAGAATAGATCTGCTATGGAAACATTGCTATGGAAACATATATGATTTCAAAATGTTAAAATTTAGCGGTTGACTTCCTTTTGTGGCAACAGGGGGCATCAACATTAGACTTATATTAGGAGTGAACATTATATGTATATATATATAAATTGTGTGTGTGTGTGTGTGTGTGTGTGTGTAGATATATATATATACACACACACAGTATGTGCGTGTGTTTAACTTGCCAGAGGGCATATGTGCTTGCTGGAGAGAGACAAAGATACACACAGAAAGAAAAAGCCATGGGAATGGTCATACCACAAACCCTTCTCTTTTATTCCTCTCTCCTTTTGGGATTTTGGGCACATGCACACAAACACCTGGCATGTTTTTCAAGCCGCTGGGCCTGGGATTCAAACCATGTGGTCAGACATGTGAGAGACAGCTGCCTTAATCACCATGCCACCAGTTGGCCCAAGAGTGGACATCATTTAAGCATTTTGCATGATGGCTTCCATGCACCTCTCATGGGCCTGATGGAAACCGTTACGTCCAAAGGGCCTTGCTAACTGTCCCCCTAAGGCCACAGTCCTGAACTTCTCACAGCTGTCTGCAGGGAGAGCTGAATACTTTCCTTCTTCAAGTCTTGGAAGTGGCTTACTCAGAGCTCTTACTGAAAGGACGCATTGATACCTACCTCGTGTTACCGTTCGAAACGTTCTCAGCCTTAAGAGCTGCAGGTTATTAACTACACACACACATGACAGCAACGAAACATTTCATTCCAAGTTCCATTTTATGCGAAAGCACTTAATGCTTAGAGTAGGGTGCAGCCAACGCTACAGAGAACGAGGTGTTCAGACAGCAGGCCAGATGACATCTGTGATCAGACAGTAAGGTCATGGCGGGCACAGCACACTGGAGGCGCTCTGGTCGACAAAGTGGCGCGGGTGGTGTGAGCAAGGGTGACTTATAGCATCTCGTTGTGCCAGGACAAGCAGCAAGAATGAGCCCACAACTGAGCTGAATATGAACAGAAAGCCATTCTTTCCTGAGAGCACTTTCTTTATTTGCGCTAAAACACCATCACGCCCACGTCTTGTTGGGCCCTGAAAGCCGACCCAGTTTTGATCCAGAATATTTAGACAAGTACAAAGCAGCTGTCTTCGGCAATTGGTTATGGGCCCGAAAGTTAAACTACTTTCAAACCTGGGGGGACTGCTCCTCTCCCCCTTTGCTCTTGTCTTAACCAACAAACCAGCATGCTATAAGTCACGTTGTTTTGGAGGACAGCCGTGTGAACGGGATGGTCATGGTGAGTGCTCGGCCATTAAACCCTCTGCCCCAGAGGCAGCGGGGTCTGCTCTCTAGGCTGGCCCAGAGAGGTTTTCATGAGATGGATTTACCACATGAAGCTTGAAGAAAGCACAGCCCCTGCCCAAGCAAATGGAGAGATGAGAAAACAGAGTCAGGCGAGCTGTCATCCAAAGGTCCTGCAGCGATGGCTCAAGCGAGGACCCCGCCCAGCCCGGACCCCACCAGCCATGAGAGAGCTGCACAGCCAAGCTCCAAAGCCATGACCAATGGCACGGGGGCAAGGAGGAAACACAGATACCTGAGTCCTTTCTTAGGCAAAGTGTTCCTATCAAGGTGCGGGTCACTGCAGGAGTTAAAACAAAGTAAGAGCTTCAGAGAAGCACAGGACGGTGCAGGGGACAAAGTTGGGGAGGGGGCCTGACAGACCCCGGAAAGAGACTCACATCACCAGGGAGTGACCCCTTCTCCAGCCACACATGCAACACAGTCACATCCACGGAAAACAACGGCAATCCCATCTTTGACCTGAGCTGACGTCTGTGCATACCTGACCCCGGGTCACCAGGAGGCCTGGGTCACTCGGCCCCAATCGCTTCCTCTTTTCCACAGCTCTAAGCAAACTCAGGGGCTCCCCTACCTCAAAGCACAACTTGGGCCTTCGGCTGCCCGGTGGTCCAGCTCTGCACCAACACCACTGCTCAGAGAGCGATGCCAGCTCACCGGTGTCCCTAACCCTGGCTCACCCCTAAGCACCACTGGTGACGACTTCAAGTGGGAGAAGGGACTTGTCAGAGGGCTTAAGAGGCCAGCAGTCTGCATATTTGGAATTCATCTGTAACAAAGTGAATTCCAGGCCCTCTCAATTTCTGTGGTCCTTGTTGGGCGTAGCTAGGAGCTGAGCCCTGGACTGGAGTCGGGGCGTGTTACAACTTGCTGGCTGATCAAGTCAAGGCATTTGGATTTCCAGAGGACAGGGTTTAAGGGCTTGGTTTGCGAGACTGACAAAAGCAAAGGTTTTTTTTTTTTTTTTTTTTGCTGTTGATGGGGTGAAGACGGTTTTCATGAGTTTTTTTTTTTCCTAGCATGAGACAACATCTGCTTGCTATGTTTGGCCAAGCCATCACCCCCCAACACACGTCAGGTCAGGATCCATCGCTGAGGCCCACCCACAGCTGCGGCAAAGCACAGGCAGCTGTGTCTGTAACGTCTCCACGCCCCACACACTCCTTCACGGCCGTTACACGAAACAGGCACAGAGAGCACAGACGTCTGCGAGACACAGCGAGCCAAGGGCAGCAGAGGGCTCCACAAGGGACTAAAGCCAGCTGCGTGGGGAGCGGGGCAGGGGGACAGAGGTGAGGGCCAAGCTGCACAGTGGATGGTAGATCATTTCACAGCTGGGGAGGCGGGGAGGCAAGGGGGGGAAGCGGGGAAGCAGGAGCATGCCGCAGGAGGCCACGGGAGATGCCAGTGAGGGCTCCTGGCACCCCAGATCGAGTGGCAGGGTCTGAGGTCGCCATCCCATACAGGGATGAAGGGGCCAGGCCAACTCTACCTCTCCCCAGGCTCTAGTTGGCAGTGGAATGCCCCTCACTGGCATGTCTGGGGGTCACAGAGTGCAGTAGACCACAAACACAAGCAGAAGCCTCAGGCCAACAGCCTTGCACAGAACATCTGGATCAACCACAGATGGGCAGAGGACGCTCCGAGGCTTGGAGGGTCCCGGCTACTATGTCGTTACCTGTCCTGTTTCCTGGGCAGAGTACTTCTGCAGAACTTAGGGCTAGCAGCAGGGGAAGAGAGAGGGCTGAAAGTCCAGCAGGCAGAAGACAAGAGAAGGAACATTAGCTTAGAGCAAAGGAGAGGTGTTATTATACACAATTAGAGCATTTCCCTCTGCCCCGGGGCCCAGGGCGGATCCTGGCTTTCTTTCCCGTGTGTGGGACCTGTGGAGCACTGTGGCAGTGAAACAGGGCTCCAGGGCCACCTTCTGCTTTGATTTCCTGTCACTACGGCCAGCAGCTCTTCAG